ATAATAATAATAATAATAATAACAATAATAATAATAATAATAATAATTTAATAATTATAATGATAATAATTGATTCTAATTTAATAATAATATTATAAATATTGTATATTATATACATTATATAAATAATAATAATAATAATAGTAACAATAATAATAACAATAATAATAATTTAATAATTTATATTATTATATGAATTCCCTGCAGGAAAGACCACCTCAAAAGCTGACGGAGCACAGTTTGATGCTCCATCCTGTCAGGACTTCCACTGGGAGCTCCACACTGGAGTTATTTAGTCAAATCAAACGCACGAACACGCACTCGTGAGGAAAATTCACTCCGAAAACTGCGCGACGCTGTCCGATTTCATCAAATTTGTTTCACACACGCAAGTCTTTTTTCCTTTTTACAGGCAATAATTAAGCTTAATTGAGCTGTTTTTATGTATTCAGGGATGTTTGTCCATGTTGATTTGACTCGATTCATTTTGACAAGTTAAAGCTTCCTGATGAAGTCGAGCAGGCTGATGAAGATCGGCGTTCTTAAGAGGACAAAATACGACAAAACGCGGAGTCTGGCTCCAGGGGAAAGCGTCCACTCTCGTTGGCTTGTGTTAACGGCAACTTGGGATGAAGCTAAACCAGAAACAGAGAAATGGGATCAAATATAATCCCACGGCAAATGCTTAAACCCATCAGTTTAAGTTTGGTTTACGGTGTTTCTGGAACAACTGGAGCTGCTCAGGATCACTTAGCTTTCCTTCAGAACTGCCTCATCCAAGCCAGCTCTTTGGGTCCAGCTTTGTAGCTTGAATTATCTGCTTTTGTTCTGCGAACAAATCCAGTTCAAGCTAGTTTATGTAGAAAAATGACTCGCCAAATTCACTATTTGGTAACAGACCCAACACAAATAAGAAGAAACTCTCCAGCTCACTTCTCATTTGTTCCTTCTTCTAAACTCTGGACTCTCAGTGGGATCACAAACGATGGAGGTCTAAAAAATAGGATGAAAAAGGTGTTTTTATATAGACCTGAAGTCTCTTTTATCCACGTTTTGACTCATTAGCATCAGTGGCGTAACGAGGGTTTGATTCTGATCGATAGTGGACGCTTCAAAGTGGAGTTTCTGCTCGGTTCTTTTATGTTTCGTTGTTTTTTTGTGTTAACTGCAACTTGGGCTGAAGCTAAACCGATAACAGAAAAACGGGATCAAACCTAATCCCACAGCAAATGCTTAAAGGAGACATATTCTACCCTATTTCAACAAGTTAAGCTAGTTCCCTGGTGTCCTAATGTAA